CCTTCAAACAGCAAATCATGAGCTCGAGGTGTGAATAGACCTTTTGCGGGGTTTCAATTGTGATGAGTCAGCACCATTCTGGTTGTATTTGGGCCCACCTGAAGACATTTAGCATTGACAGAGATATGCAAAAATTTAATAATAAAGCACTTCATATATTGTCAATAGATGGTACACTAATTGTGGGTAAAATCACAGAATGTGTCGATGACCCGTCTGACGGCCATTACGGCCGTCATGTGATGGATAAAAATGGGTGTTCAGCAAGCCCAAACGGAACGGGTAATTGTCCGTCAGACCCGTCTATGACAGGCACGGTGCGCAGCCCTATTTGTCATGAAGTTCTATGTTTGTAGTTGCAACTCCAGGCCATGTTAGATGAGGAGTGGAAAGGAGGAATCACAAGTGCCATAATTGTTCCGTATGCTTGTTGATTTAGTTGTCTAGGACGTTCACCTGTTCACTACCACCATAGGTCCAAACGTTGCCTTCTTCGCCGTGAATGTACGGTATTGTGCATGCACGCCGATCAAGGCGTTGAGAGGAAAGGGGCGAGCAGGATCTTGATCTTCTGGCGTACTTGAGTCATTCTCCTTTCTTTCATTATTTTTCTTCCACCTTCACAACTAAACCAGATTGTAAGTCCATTTTACAGCATTCATAATCAATAATATCTCACACTTGCAGACCAAATGGATGTCGAGCCATCGAATGGCTTAGCCATCCAAATCGACGTGATTCCCAGCTTGAGCTCTGACGGCAATTGGGGAAAAGATTTTCCCTACACCCCAGAAGAATCCAAGAAACTAAAAGAGCAAGTTTTCAGCTGCAAACGACCCCATAAATCCAGACAAGATTCCCTTGATCGTCTCACTCTCCTGCACGCCCAGTCCGAAAAGATCGCCTCCGTCGTCACCAGGCACCAACCACTCGATGCCGATTCATTTTTTCCACCTGGCCTCGCGACCCAAAGGGAAAGCCACTTTTGTCTGAAAACAGCACGCTAGGGAAGATGGTAGCCAATGAGGTACAGCACTGGGGTGCGACGCTGTTTGATTTCTACCATGTCCGACGTATGCACGATTTTGGTGGGTTGCAGTCGACATCGACCAGGAGTAAGTGGATGAAAGCGAGCGGAGAGGATTACGCAAAGGAGGAGTTGCAGCTTGCGGAGGAGGAGGAAGATCCGAAAGAGAGCTTCCCTTGTGATATCGCGAAGCTTGTTGAGGATGTTGAAATGAGGATCTCGAAGACGTTGAGCGAGTCTGAGGGGGAAAGAAAAAAGGAGGGATTTATTCGTCCTGTTGGTATTTTCTTTCTGCATTTTCCGCATCTTGTCTGACCTTTTTCTTTCGTTCTAGGAGCCATTCAATGCGACCTTCAATTCTTTGCCGATTCTTCAACAACGTCTTCCACTACACCTTCTGCCAACAACTCTCTATGTTCATGACCAGTTCCGTTTGCTTCAAGTTTGAGATGGCCGCTTCGAGGAACACCATCCTCAACCATGGTCTTCAAAACCCGACATAGTCCACACCTATAGCCATAATGCCTCTCCCACTGGCAGAGAGAAGATGGAAAAGGAACAAGAGAAACTGATCTCAGACTGTGAGGTCGAGGAAGCTCTTCGGAAGGGTGCTAAGCCTGAAGAACATTCTTCGGCATTAGCACTCTAGGGATGGCCTCATCCCTGGATCAACCAAACCCTGGGTATACGCAATGCACGAGCCTTCCTCTCTTCCCAGTTCTGCTGAAGAAGCCCATCTGCACCTCTCGCCTTCCCACCTGGCAGGCAAAGGGAATCACTCTTTCGCTTATCACACAGAGTGGGACATCCCACACGACCTCCTCGTCCCAGACGTCCTCTGCAGACAATGTGTCATTGACGAAGAACAGAAAATTATCGCTGCTGAAGACGACGTGGAAGGGGCAGACCCAAAATGGACCACTAAACACAGGGAAGTCATCCTCAAGGAATACGTCCAGCCTGAATTTGTGACGACCACTCACAAAGAACCAAACGTCAACATATTGAGGGAGCACAGAGAGCTCAACAGACTTGTCTATGTAGGTCCCATCCGCATCATCCGCACCACAGTTGGGTACCAGAATCTCGAGCAAGGTGGGAGCTGCGTCCACCTCTCGGAACAGGATAGGTTCAAACACCCTTCGTGCCACCGTCCGTGTCACGGCGAAACTGTCCATGCAGGGCGACGATCACCTGGACAGAGAGTCGCTTAAATACCAGGCATTTCCTGATCACTTTTTCCAGCATTGGAATGGGTATAACGTTGTCTCGCCGTTGCATGAGCCGGTACCTGTGGGTGCACTTGTGCCTCAGTATTATGGGCATCATGTTCCTGATAAGGATATCCCAGTGAGGAAGGAGAAGAGGGCGGCGGTGGTTGATGATGTTGGTCAGTCTGACATGGGTGATGTCGGTGGTGGGGAGGAGCTCTGTTATTGTAGTCCAATCATTCTCATGGAGAATTGTGGAAGTCTAATCGACGTTGACGCGCTTAATATCAACGATAAGTAAGCCCTACCAATCCAACATCTCATTATCACTCACCAGATTCATTCGTTTTAGACACGAATGCACATCATTAATTTTTCGGTTCCATCATGCAGGGTCGGTCCACCACTCTGTCGCGCCTCACAACATTCTCTTCCAGCCAGGTCCTTTGACTGAATTCCCCCTGTTCCGCATGGCCAACCAGCACCTAATCCTCGAGACAGGGTGTTCGATTTCAGGCTCATCGATTTCGGGAGGAGCAAGCTCTTTGGAAATTCTTTGGTACATGCGGGAGAGGAGTTCATTGTTGAGAGGACTATTGGAGTCCCGAGGACACGGGATGGAAATGAGATTCGTGCATTTGTAAAACTGTTTTTCTTGTAACGTTGAAGAATGCGAGCATGCCAGCATCATGGAGAAAGCAAAAGAAAGGTTGAATGGTGGTGTTGTCGAGAATAGCTTGCACAACATGGCAAACCCTCTTCTCCAACTAGTTGAAGGGGCAAGGACATCTCTAAGAAAGAGACGAAGTGGGCGTTCAGCAGGAAATTGTTGGGAGTGCCAAGGACGTTCAACAACGGCAAGCTAGAGGGAAGAGGAACTGAGAGGATGGTGAATGATTGATTTTTATTTGGTCGTTTTCCGCAAGTTCATTGCGAACATTCAATGACGTCTT